GGGGAGCAAGGCTGGCATAGCATGCGGTGCCAGGGATCGAACTGCGGTCCCTAGGCTTGCGTAAGCTTGCCTAAGCAGGCGCTTTGGACCGTTGAACTATTCTGCCGGCCCCAAAAATGCATCTAAATGTTAAAACAGAAATACTAAATCTGCCAGAAGACTAGGTAGATTAGCAAATATCACAAGAATGAACAACTGGGATCCCGCCTTTTTTTTTTTTTTTTTTTTTAGGGAAGGGTCTACAGGGTATGTTCAGGGTCTCACTACTAGATCAGACTCATAGTGATCCACCTGTTTACAGCCTCCCAAGAGCTGGGATTACAGGCAAGTGCACCACCACCAGTGTACCCCAGGGGAGGGGCCAGCATGGCAGGCCCCGGGGATCAAACCCCCAGCCCCTGCTTGTAGGCGCTTTAATCTGCTGAGCTATTTGGCCGGCCCTACCACCTTTTTTTTTTTTAATTTTTAATTTTATTTTTTTTGCAGTACTGGGCATTGAACTCAGGTCTCTGTGCTTGCCTGGCAAGCACTTATTCTACTGAGTTATCTCCCCAGGCCCACGCTTTAAAAAAAAAAAATGATTTATTTATTTATTTACTTGGTACAGCTTCTCACCCCACAGCTAGGACTCATAGTGATCCTCCTGTCTCAGCCTCCTCAGCTCTGGGATTACAGATGTGAACCATCATACTCAGTTTTAGTGGCTGGAACAACACTTTTTGGTGGTACCAGGGATGGAACTCAGAACTTTGCCCTTGCCAGGAAAGCACTTATTCCACTGAGCTATCGCCCCAGGCAGGCACTTAGATCACACCAAGCTATTTCCCAGCCTATCATCTTATTACAAAGCTTATACACAGCAAAAGAAACCACAAACAGAATGAAGAGATAACCCCAGTCAGGGGGGGAAAAATTGCTAGCAATTCCTCAAAGAACTAACATCTAGAATACATAAAAAATAAAGGGGGGGGGAGCGGGGAGATGGCTCAGTGGAATAAGCGCTTCCCTGGAAGTGCAATGGCCTGAGTTCAATCCCCAGTTCCACCAAAAAAAAAAAAAAAAAAAAAAAATCAGGCCTTCCAGGCATGGTGGCACATGCCTGTAATCCCTGTATTGGCAGGAGGGTTGTTGTGAGTTCAAGAGCAGCCTAGGCTACAAACTGAGCTCAAGGCCAGTCTGCACTGCATAGTAAGACCTTGTCTCAAAAAAAAAAAAAAAAAAAAAAAAAAAAAAAAAAAAAAAAAAAAAAAAAAAAAAAAAAAAAAAGGACAATCACTCAATCAATAAATAAATAAATAAGATAGGGGCCGGGGAGATAGCTCGGTAGTTTAAGAACCTGTCTGAGAGGGCTGGGGAGATAGCTCAGTAGAATAAGCACTTCCCTGGCAAGCACAAGGTCCTGACTTCAAATCCCCAGTTCCGAAAAAAAAAAAAAAAAGAATAGATATTTCTTAGATGAAAAAGTTGATTGAGAGATACAAATTAAAACAACCCTGAGATGGCTCAGTGGAATAAGCGCTTCCCTGGCAAGCCCAAGGCCCTGAGTTCAATCCCTGGTTCCACAAATAAAAAAAAAACAACCCTGAGATTCTTTTTTTTTTTTTTTTAAACATTTATTTATTTATTTATTGTGTGTGTCCAGCTCAGCCCACCAGGGGGTGGGGCTGGCTGGCATGTGGTGCTGGAGGATCGAACCGCGGTCCCTGTGCTTTCCCAAGCTTGTTCCAAGTAGGTGCTTTAGACCACTAAGCCATCTCACCAGCCCCATCCCTGAGATTCTATATCACACCAAATAGAATGGCTATTATCAAGAAATCAACAATACCAAGTGTTAGAGGGCCTATGGTAAAAAAGGAACCTTTCCTCACTGTTGTTAGGAGTGTGAACTGTGGAAATCAGTGGTGGAGATTCCTCAAAAAATTAGGAATTGAGTCAGTTATTCTCCTTGATATCTTCCTGAAAGAATTAAAAGCTTCATACCATAGAGGGCCAGGGAGATGGCTCAGTGGAATAAGCACCTCCCTGGCAAGCGCAATGGCCTGAGTTCAATCCCCGGTACCACCAAAATAAATAAATAAATAAATAAAAAAGCATCATATCATAGAGATACATGCACATTCATATTTATTTCTATTTATTTATTTATATGATACAGGGTCTCACTATGCATAGTTCAGACTCGTAGTGATCCTCCTGTCTCAGTCTCCCCAGCGCTGGGATTAGAGGCATGCGCCACTACCAGCACCTGGGGTTCCGGGGCCAGCACAGCATGTGGTACCAGGGATGAAACTCAAGTCCTTGCACTTGCCAGGCAGGCACTTATACTGCTGAGCTATCTCCCCAGCCCAACATAAACATGCTTAGAGCAGCACAGACTGTAATAGCTAAACCTTGTAAAACCCAAATGCCCATCAACTGATGAATGGATAAAGATTTTTTTTTATGTAGTAGAGTACTACTCCGCCATAAAGAATGATAAGCTTCATTTTGTATCTGTGTATTCAAAGTGGTT